CCAGATTTTGACCCTGACCCAGTAGAAGAGAATCTTGCGCAATTAAGCCGTTGGTCACTGAATTCACCACCAAACTGGGAATACCCGCCCCTCGCTATCGCCAACCAATACTACGATCAGCATGCTGATGAGGTAAAGCAAGCAAGGTACCGTTTGATATTGGTCCGAGGGTCAGACCTTCGCTGGTTGGACAGAGCGCGCTTCCAAGCAATTCAAGCAGGCTTGCGAACCCAATACAAGTGGCTCCCCAGGCAACATCTCCCTTTCTCCGAAGTCGTCCTATATGTCTATGCTGCTGATCGCACACCCTTTCCCACATACGTGTGCCTACCTTCAGGACTGTATAAAGCACGCACCGGGAATGTAGTAGCGCAGACAGGCCCAGACCAGGAGATCCTGTCCCTGCCTGGCATATATTTCTTTGATGGATGGCGATTACACCCAAACTTGCTAATCCAGACCACCTGCCACGCGCAGCAGAGGCACCAGTTCAAGGTACCGCTCCTGATGCACCTACACCTGATGCGGAACCCAAACGGTTGCCAGAAGAAGAAGCGAGGGACATTCTTGCAGTAGCCGCCAAGAACCAGCCAGAGGATGGCCCGAGCACAAGAAAAGCAGCTGTCCGCGCATGTAAATACCTGAGAGCCATGGTCAACCAATACGAAACCACCATCCAAGCTGTGCATAGTGCCGCCCGCACCCACACGCAAAGAAGTAAAGGCATGGTTGGACCTCCTGTTGATTATCGCCCACAAGGAGAAGCCCTCCTAGTAATATCAGCAGACCTCACCTCTGAGTTATTACATTGCCTATCGACGCTCCCAGACCCATGGCCCTTAGCCAAAATTACCATCGATATGGAGAAACCGAGCCAATGGGTCTCAAAAATTGTGCAGACTTTATTTTGCGGACGAGTACGCCAAGCGCACAGTAGGACTTCCCTCACGTAAACATGTTCTGGACATTGCAGGCGCCCTCCAAGCAGTTCAAGCCATCCTCCCAAACTGGAAGTCAAGATGATTGAATTCTTAGCTGAATGGATGGTAACTCTGTTAATGCCAGCCAGACACGTAATGGAAGTGAGGGCACCTCATCTTTCCTTCATGATGCTCAAGGAATACTGGTTCAGGGAACTTTACTTAGGCCTGAAAGTCACAGCGTCCTTTGACCGCTCTGAGTCATTTACCAGAGTGATCGATGGCCAGGTAAGATGCATCACGCCTGAAGTGAAGCCGCAGAATTTGCAGGTCATTTGGAATGTGCAGTTCATCACAGTCTTTGTGCCAGCATGGATGATCCCGCCTGTCTATCATAGCCTACGCAGAGAAAGCATTAAAACTGTGAGTTCTGGCAGCCCCATAGGAGTCCAGTCAGTCCGCCCTACTTGGTTTGAGGACACAACACCTAGGGACCCTACCTCTCAGCAATCTCAAGACCCTCACAAGGAGCAAGCCCAGCCACTTCATGGTCTCAAGTTAGTCATCAAAGAAGAAGTGTTACCAGCGACTGACCAACCGCAATTCCAGTCGCTTGAGCTGTTGGCTAGCAGGGGCCTGTTGGCACCTGATACATGGAAGTGCAAACGCGCACAAGTCAGCCTGAAAGCAACTATTGATGTCCCATGTTGGGTACAATCATAGAGCAAAATGGCGATGGGCTCCTAGAAGACTCCCACATGCCAGTAGGATGGCCACTCCACATTGATGGCGCTGTCAGACAATGTTGCATTCACAGAACTGCTAGTTTGCAAGAATTAGACGATATGCTCAAGGAATACGACATGAAACGAGACTCTGTTGAAATCAACCATGACGCGCCTCAATGGTCCCATCATGCAGTGTGGAACCGCAAGTATATGGAACCAAAACCTGGATATACGCTAGAACAGCTATGGGCTGACTCCGAACCTGCAGTAAATAAAAAACGACCACTTCCTATGAAGTACAAGCAGATGACCTTCAGCGTGCCGTATCGGCCATTCGGCATTTTCCGCCCCCCATTCCTCCGGACAGCCCCTTCATACAAGCGTTAGGAACACCAGCTGCCCTGAAAGCCCCACCACAGACTGATACCCTAGCGCAAAGGGCACTGGAAGAATGGGAGCGTACTCTGTGCGAAAACAAGGCAGTAGCAATCCTTGCCGAGATACAAGCTGGACGACCGACCATCATCCACAAAGAGGGCGGGGAAATGCTTATTGCCATTGTTCTGGACAAGCCACTGGAGGAAGCAAAGCAATTAGTTGATGACCCTGCGGCATTCACCCGCGAAATGACACGCATCCTGCGCGATAAGCATACTCACCCGCTCATAGCCCAAATGATGAAACCTGCGGAGAGTAGTGAGCCACCCTCTGCCACTGCGAGCGCGAGTGGTGCCAGTAGCAGTCGAGACCTTCGCACTACACCACACGAACAGTTCCAATAAAACGCACCAAATGACACAAAGTACCCAAGTTCCACGAAGAGCAATCAGCATCCAACTTCAACTAACTTGAACGGCGTTGTCACCATGGGGTACTCATGGTTAATAACTGCCTGCTACTATCCCTTTTCCAGTCGACATGCTGGAGCCAGCATAGGATTGCCAGCACAGGATATATTGGTGACAGTAAAGTTGAGGGGCGTTGTCACCATGGGGTACTCATGGTTGATTACTGCCCGCTGCGGCTACCATGTTCTCAGTATGCAGAATCGAGCATGGGACGGGAGGCGGGGGGGGGCGTTTATACTAATTATCCTGTTATGGGTTGTTTGTCATTTTGTGTCTTTAAACGTTGCATGGTAGTGTAGTGAGATGTCAAAGCACATCAAGCCATGCCGCCCGTTGCTGTCTTGCTCAGGCAATCCAGTACCTGCATTGCTTGAATGTCACCCGACCATATGAGCTCCGTGCAATCAAACGAAGTAGTATGCCTGCCTCAGGAACCCCAGATTCACAATGAGGCACAGGATCTCCTCTTACTGCAGGACTATGTGCACAGACTGACGAACACTCTCAGAACTTTGGAAGACACCCACGCCGTATTGCAGCAAACGGAACTCCTTGCAGGTGTTATCAACGAGCAAGATTGCAGAGACATTCGCACAGCCTGCTGTTGCTTAAGAAGTCTGCGCATTCGACTAGAAGCCCGTGCCAACGTTACAGAACGAGAAGTGATTAGTCGACAGCTACAGCTCATGCATGCGAGCGTACAACAGTACCGGACTGAAGACCTTAACACAGCTGACACAAGTTGCCTGTCCAGAACCTCTTTTGAGCACTTTGAGGATAGACCTGGTCCCTGGGCAGAAAAAAACGCTCGTATTCCTACACCAATGTAACTAAGCAAGCTACCATGATCATTGACCGCATCTAATGCAGTTGATTTCAACACCTGCCAAGTTGACCGCTCAAGCTGCGCAACGCTTGCAAGCCTGCATCCATGCGGTCGAGCTCGCCCTTCGCGAACTCGATCGCATTGGATCCAGTTTTGAAAGTGGTATACTCCGCCAAAGTGCACTGCAACTCCCATATGTGGGTATTTTCTCCCATATCACGAAGATGCAATGCAAGAGCACTAGCATGGTAGTGCCACTAACAATTTCGGTGCAATATGATGATTGGAAAAGCAGTACTGAGCGGACTCTGAGGGTACCTGAGTGCTGCTACCGCGCCGTCTTTTTCACCTTAGACCACGTTTCACTTTCCTGTTTCACTGCGGTAGCTTCTCACCACTTTGTTGTGACCCGGCGTTGACGGTGTTTGCTTCAAAGTGTTTTGGTGCTATATTATGCCATGATGGCTGCTCTTTGAGATCTCGGGGATCCTGGCTGGGGGGATCCCTGGTTTCCGCATTGAGCTGTGTTGCTTCAGCACCCTGTGATGTGGCCCTGGGTGATTTTGTGGTTGGTGTTTTGGTTGTTTTCTTGTTTAAGGGCCTGCGTTGACATGGCACAGAAGTTGTCATTTGCATGCGTCGAGATGTATGATGGCCTGCGCGAAGGATGGCACACAAGCTGCTATCGGAATTCATCTCAAGAGCACATTGCTGTCCTTTTGCCCTGTTTTTTGTTTTGTTTTTGTGCTGTTTTGTTTGTTTGGTTGTTTTTTGTGTGTTTTGCTTTTTGTGGTTTTTGTTTCGTTTGCTTTTTTGTTGGTTTGTGCTCGCTCTCGGCAATTGGATAGCTTTATGGACTATGTAAAGGTCCACACCAGCTCTCTTTTGTGGCTTTTCATGCATATCAATTCAATTTCCGGCAAGTTAAAGCTTGTGTAACGACCTGGCGAAAGCCTCGGAGGCGTTGGACGGAAAAAAAAAATTCTTGATAGCATATTGATAGGTTTGTGAACCCAATCAAAATCAATATCAATATCAATATCCTGCAGCTGTTTGGCTCTTTGAGCTGTTTTGTTTTTCAGCTTGCAATTTTGGAAATCTTGGAAAAGGTCTAGGCTTGGGTTAATCCAAGTCTAGGTCTTGGAAAAGTCCAAACAGGTCTTGGAAAAGACCAAGGTACAGTTTTGCTCTGTGTGAAAAAAATGCAGTGCAGCCAGGTGCAGCTGTTGTAGTGACTGGTTCTGCATGTTGTGCTGCATTGGTAACTTGCATGCATGTCTGCAGCTGTTTTCAGTTTGGGTTAGAGTGGCTCATGTCAACATGACACCACCCATGCACTTAGCACACTCACAGGCATAGCCACACACACATGCATACATACATATGTGCATGAGCACATGTTCACAATTTTATCGACACAAACACACATAGGGACAGACATAACTTGCCTTGGTACAACACAACAACAAAAACTTCAACCAACAACAAATCACAATTCACACAACCTCCAGTAGCTGAGCTGTTGGTGGTCTTGGAAAAGGCCTTGCTGCTGCCACAGGTTTGGAAAAGCCAGTTGCTTGGAAAAGCCCTTTGGGTTTGGAAAAGCCATTTGGGTTTGGAAAATCCCAAAGCTTCAAGAAAATCTCTGATTTGGAAAAGTCAGAGATGGAACCCCCTGATGGCCCCAAGAATAAGAAGGGGAGGCCCTTTGGCTCTGGCACCACCAGTGCCACCAGAAAAGCCAACAGGGAACACCTGCAGTGGGATCGCTTGGCTGGGGAAAACCCAAGTGATCCCCAGGTGGGTGAGGCACCTGGAGCAGCTGGAAAGTGCCCAGAAGAAGTGCCAAGCCAGGCTGCAGGCAGAGCTTGGAAAAGCTCTGGAGAGGCAGCAGGAGAAAGACATCTTGGCAGCTGAGGCTGCCAAGAAGAAGAGGAGCCACTCTGTGGCTGGTGGCTGCAAAAGCAGGGGGAAAGATGGCACAGCCAGGAAGGCCATCTTGACCCCTGCTGAGCCTTTGGAAAAGGGCTCTGCAGCCTCGTCCTCCTCCTGCAAGCTTCAGGGTTTGGAAAAGCCCAGCAAGAAGAAGGATTTGGGAAAGTCCAAGGGTTTGGAAAATTTGGAAAAGCCCAGCTCCAAGGAAGAGCCCAAGACCACCACTGGCTTGGAAAAGCCTGGCTTGGAAAAGCCACTGGTCATTGTGGACTGGCATCAGACCCTGGAGAACAATGATGCCATCTCAGACAGGGATCTGCATGCCTTGGAGCTTCTGGCCTCAAGATGCAGGGTGTGCATCTTGAGCTATGTGGCATCTGACACAAGGGCAGAAAAGGTGATGGAAGACATCCACACCTTGGTGCCCTTCCATGAGCAGCTTTTTGGAAAAGAAGTCTGCTGTGCCCAAGTTGGGCACAGGGGCAAATGCCACATTGCCTGTGAGATGGATGCCATGGCAATTTTTGATGACAATCGAAAAATTTGCCAGGAATGCATGCAATGGGGGTTGGATGTGTACCCCATCAGAACCCAGAACCAGCCCCACAAGTGGATTCTGGCTGAGGACAGTTTTGGCACTTTTGCTGAAGCTGTGGACAAGTTCTTCAGCCATTATCCAAAGCTGTAAGTCTTGGAAAAGACTGCAGGAGGTGTTTGGAAAAGCACATTGTGGGGCTGGTGTGGTGCTTGGAAAAGCACCAAAGGCATGCATGGCATCAAAACCAGGAGTTTGGAAAAACTCCTGCAAAGAAGGGGTTTGGAAAAGCCCCTGAACAAAGCATGTAGCATCCTAGTTTCACCACACAGGCACTTCAGAGGCTGCAAGTAAATGTTAAGTCACCATTTGTTTGAAATACATTTGAAATAAATGAAAATAAACAGAACTGTTGAAACAACACTTCAACATGTTTCATCTGTTTGTAGCTACTGTGCAGCCTCAGAAGTGCCTGTTGCAATGTGGTTTGGAAAAGCCACACTAGGATCAAACAGTTGGTTTGGAAAAACCAGCTGTTTTTTTCCAAGCAACAGGTTTGGAAAAACATGTTTTTTTTGCACCTTTGTACAGTGTACAGTCAGCCTGTTTGCAGGCTGTTTTTTTAAAGGTGTGACTGGTAATACACCAGTCACACAAACAATAAGAAAAATGAAGAAAAATGTAATAAAAAAAATATATATATATATATAAATTTAGATTCAAATAAATAAATAATTAAGAATTTTTACTTATATTTATATATTTTAAATTGGCATTTACAAATTAATGGTTTGTGTTTTCTTGTTTTCTGATTTTTGTTGTACAAATTTGAGTAAGGCCAGTCATGGACCTTGACAAAACTAAACTCTGGAACAACACAAAACCACAGGCTTGGAAAAGCCTGGAAATGCCCAAGTAAAATTCAAAACAAACCTGCACAGAACTTTTTTTTTGTTTTTGCAATGTTCTTCCAAATTATTTTTTGGGTCCAAGCTGGCATGAAATCTGGTGAGACTCATCTCTACAACCAAAATATAAAAGCACAGGTTTTTCCAAACCTGGACCTTTTAAAAATTCTTTTTGTGTCCAAGCTGGCATGAAATCTAGTGAGACTCACCTCTACAACCAAAATATAAAAGCACAAGTTTTTCCAAACCTGGACCTTTTTAAAATTCTTTTTGTGTCCAAGCTGGCATGAAATCTAGTGAGACTCACCTCTACAACCAAAATATAAAAGCACAGGTTTTTCCAAACCTGGACCTTTAAAACTCTAGAGACCACCAAATTCAATTTGACACAGTTTTCTTTAAAAAAAAGCATGTCTTGGTGGTATTGGATTTGAACAGGAAATCAGAGATACACATTCACACAACTAAACTTTGATTTGCGATCAAGCATTGTTTCAAAACAAACTCAAACAAAGGTATTGCAATTTGTTCTGCACAAAAAGTAAATTAAGCATTTCCCTTAATCTCACCCCAGGCAAATGCCAGAAGAAAACTGACAAAACAATTTGATATTAAAAAGAAAAATAGAAAAAATATAAAAATGTAAGTCAGGGTGAATCTGATCAAATCTGATCAAATCTGATCAAATTTGATCAAATCTGATCAAAAGTGGTTTTTGATCAAATTTGATCAGATTTGATCAAATTTGATCAAAATTGATCAGAATTGATCAGATTTGATCAGATTTGTATTTTCTTAGTTTTTTTGTTTGTTTTTTGAAAACAAAATTATTGTTTTGTGTTTTTTTGAAAACAAAGTTAATTGTTTGTTTTGTGCGCTAACAAATTTGTAGGACATGAATTGTTCATTGGTTTGAAAAATAAAAAACAAAAATAACTGTGTTTGTTCTAAACAATATAGCTTATTAAAAAAACAGAAATGCATTTATTTTACTTTAAAATCAAATATGTACATATATGTTCTATATATAAATATTTGCCAAATATAATTACACTAAAAGCAAGCTATGTTGGACAATACAATATATGTTGATAATATTTTTACAAAATGCAAATTAGTCATTGGAAACAATTGTTTGAAATCATAAACATATAAACAAATTTAGCGCATACATATGTTTTTGGACTTGGAAAAGTCCATGTGTTTTTTTTAAAAGCAAATATAACATATTGTTATTCCACTAGTTTATTATCAAACATGCAGGTGTGGTTGAAACATTTGGTTTGTTTAAAACATTCTATATTACATGTTGTATGGTTTGGGGTGTGGTGTGTTAAATGGTTTGGGGTGAAATATAACATGGGTTGCAAAACATATATATATATATATTTAAAGATAAATGTATGTATATATAGTTATGTATATATGTATTTGTATATGTATATATATATTATATGTAAATATATATATATATATAAACATGCATGCATGATGCATGTGGCAGTTTTGGTTCAAACTTCTTGTAGCAGTTAGCTAAGCAATTCGAAAAAAAACAAACAAAGCAATGGCACCAAAGAAAGCCATGAAAGGCATGAAGGCAAAGGGTTTGGAAAAGCCTAAGGGCTTGGAAAAGCCAAAGAAAGTTATGAAGAAACCAAAGGCTTCCTCCAGCAAGCCTGGAAAGGCTAATAGGCCTGGAAAGGCTAAGAGGCCTGGAAAGGCTAGCAAGCTCAGCAAGGCCAGCTTGGAAAAGTTAGGCCAGATGAGCTTGAAAGACAAGATGAAGGCAGCAGCTGAAGGGGCTGAGGACCCAAATGAAGCTGCCATTGTCTTGCATGACAGCATGTCAAAGCTGGAGAAGTCAAAGGCTTGGAGCAAACACCAGACTGCTCTGAAGCATGGCTCCAAGCAGGAGCAGGCAGCTTACAATGACTTGTCCAAGAAAGACAAAGGCATTGCAGCTGTAGCCTATCTCTTGGAAAAGGAAGGCAAACAATACATGACAGCCTTGAAAAAGGCGTCTGTGGGAGAAAAGGTCACCAAGGCTGACAACTGGGAGACAGAGCTGCAGATGCTGGCCAAGTTCACACCGGAGGAACTTGACCTGCATCTGCAATCTGGAAGAGTTGTCTGGAGAGAGTGCCCTTCCACATGGGGTGCTTATGAATATAAGGACACCCAGTGCTTCCAAAGGGAGATCTCCACCAACAGGGCCAAGGAATGGCAGAGTGGGGTGGAGTATGATCCAATGGAAGAGGACTTGGAAAAGTTCATGGATCTCTTCACCAAAGAATGCCATTCCTTGGAGGTGGATGATCATCCCAAGGGCAAGGGCTCTGGAAAGAGCCATGGGAAGGGCAAAGGCCTTGGAAAAGGCAAAACCAAGAACAAGAGCAACCAGGACACTCCTGATGACAAGCTGGATACCTTGGAAAAGGTACTGAAAGCTTGCAAGACAGCCAGGAACATGGTTGCATCCACACAGTCAGGCTTGGAAGTGGCTTTGGAAAAGGCTAAGTCCAAGCTGAACAAGGCTGGCAGAGCATCTGCAGAGACTGCTCTCAAGAAGCTTGGAAAAGCTCTTGGTGACCTGAAAGCCATGTTGTCTGGAAAGAACAACAAAGATTCTGCTTCCATCAAGAAGAAGCTGATGGGTGTGGCCAAAATTGTCAAGGAAGCCAAAGATGAGACCAAAGAGCTCAAGAGTGTTGGTGGCAAAGCACAGTCCACAGCTGGAAGCAGGAGAGGCCATTGGTTTTGGAAAAGGTCAGTGCCAAAAGGTCTTGGAAAAGACATATATTTCCACACATGGAAGCAGAAAAGCAAAGTGATTTTGGAAAACATCACAGCCACAGATGGGAACAGAAAAGCAAAGTGACTTTGGAAAAGGTCACAGCCAAAGAGCCTTGGAAAAGGCATGGTAGGAATGCCATGGGTTGCATGTTGGTGGGAGGTGTGTTGCATTATGCATGTTGGTGGGAGGGGCCTGGAAAGGTCTGCAAAGAAAAGCCTTGGAAACGGCTTGGCTTCATCTTGGATGAGATCCAAGAACAATACAGGTCCCAAGAGCTGTCACATAGATGGACCAATTTAAGGTTGTCTAAGGTTGTCTATGTTTACAGATGCAAACAAGCCATGGGCTTCCAAAGCATCCTTGGACATCAAAGCTGGAGAAGCCAAGCACCTCCTGCCAGCAGTTGTGCCAGTCTTGGAAAAGCTCTTTGGCCCAAGCATGCATGTGAGGGAAGAAGAAAGAAAAATGATCTCTGCAGCCAAGAGCTTGGAAAAGCTGGTGGCTCTGTGGGATGAAGCAGAGACATTTTTAACTCCTTCGCAATTTGCTCAAAGCATGGCTCTTGGAAAAGAGTTTTTGCTATCTTACAAATGGCTGAATTCTTGGTCCTTGGAAAAGGATAGGAATTCTTTTGCCATTGTTATAAAACACCACACTTTCATACATTTACTTCTCAATAGTAAATATATGAACCCCAGGCGACGGTGGTGCTTCAGAGGGGAAGATTTTGTGGGACATGTGAGCAAGATGGCTCACTCCATCAGCTTTGGTGTATCTTCAACCAAGATCAGCACCAAGCTTTGTCCCAAGTACCGCATTTTCTTCCACCTCTTGATGACAAGAGGCTTGGAAAAGCCTCTTTGGGTTGAAGAAGATGACACCTTCTAGAGCTTTGGAAAAGGCATGGCAAAAAGTCCAGAAACATTGGAAAATGCTAAGCTTTGGAAAAGGCCAAGGAAGCTTTGGAAAATGTAGCTCTTTGGAAAAGGCCAAAGTAGCCTTATAAGGCAAAGATCTCGACTTTTCCTTGAAAAAATGCTTGTTTTGCAGCACCTGAAATATTGATTTTTCTCTTGATTTCATATGGTCAAAACCATCATTTTATACATTGAAATATTGATTTGAAAAATCAATATCTGATATTGATTTTTCAACCCATCAAAATCAATATATTGATCCTAATCAATATGGGATGCTCAGGGTATGGTCTGCTCTTTGACGGTGCATTCCCACTTTGCCATCTCTCGGAAGGGTAGAGGGATACCAAATTCCAGGGATGCAGCTTGTTGCAAAGACTTGCAAGCCAATCCCCGCTGTTCATTTCGTTGCCATAGACTACAGAGCAAAATTAACTGAGCTTGAGAGAGCGGAGCAGGAGGTACCTTGGAATGTAGGCGTAGCCCAAGAACTGGGAGAAAGTTGTGGTGTAGCCACTGAGGCTTCCATTCTTGTGTGCCAAATAACGCTGCCGCAAGTGGCAGCCATCCATATTGGGCAAGGTCAGCAAGGCTATTAGGCAGTCTCTTCTTGGCATTGGTACCAAAACCATGAAGGATAACTGGCCGCATGAACTTTGGCTCTATCTCCATAGCCTGGTACATCTTGTCTCCTGGCAGCACTCGAACACTAACCTCTCCTGGGAGCAGGCTAAGTGTAGGCAGGGCACCTTGCTCATAGGCAGGCCGAGCCCACTTATGGAAGTTAGGTTGTCTACCTTGGTAACCATCGAGTATCTTCCTTAAATGACCATGACGCGGCCAGACTCCGGAAGCTGGGACAGGGAAGGTAACTAGTCCAGACCACTGGCCTAGCACACTCCACGCATGACACCAGTCTGCCGTGACCCGAGTGGTCGTGCCAAGCAAAGGAGAGCCAAGTAATCCACTAGCAACTGCTTGCTCTACGTCAACTGGTGGATATGTGGTTGCAAGGTAGGCTTCAACATGCTCGTGATAGGCACGAGTGACGATGTGAGCAACCTCATCAGGGTCCATGTCCATCATCCACAAAGATGGCGGGGAAATGCTTATTGCCATTGTTCTGGACAAGCCACTGGAGGAAGCAAAGCAATTAGTTGATGACCCTGCGGCATTCACCCGCGAAATGACACGCATCCTGCGCGATAAGCATACTCACCCGCTCATAGCCCAAATGATGAAACCTGCGGAGAGTAGTGAGCCACCCTCTGCCACTGCGAGCGCGAGTGGTGCCAGTAGCAGTCAAGACCTTCGCACTACACCACACGAACAGTTCCAATAAAACGCACCAAATGACACAAAGTACCCAAGTTCCACGAAGAGCAATCAGCATCCAACTTCAACTAACTTGAACGGCGTTGTCACCATGGGGTACTCATGGTTGATAACTGCCTGCTACTATCCCTTTTCCAGTCGACATGCTGGAGCCAGCATAGGATTGCCAGCACAGGATATATTGGTGACAGTAAAGTTGAGGGGCGTTGTCACCATGGGGTACTCATGGTTGATTACTGCCCGCTGCGGCTACCATGTTCTCAGTATGCAGAATCGAGCATGGGACGGGAGGCGGGGGGGGGCGTTTATACTAATTATCCTGTTATGGGTTGTTTGTCATTTTGTGTCTTTAAACGTTGCATGGTAGTGTAGTGAGATGTCAAAGCACATCAAGCCATGGCGCCCGTTGCTGTCTTGCTCAGGCAATCCAGTACCTGCATTGCTTGAATGTCACCCGACCATATGAGCTCCGTGCAATCAAACGAAGTAGTATGCCTGCCTCAGGAACCCCAGATTCACAATGAGGCACAGGATCTCCTCTTACTGCAGGACTATGTGCACAGACTGACGAACACTCTCAGAACTTTGGAAGACACCCACGCCGTATTGCAGCAAACGGAACTCCTTGCAGGTGTTATCAACGAGCAAGACTGCAGAGACATTCGCACAGCCTGCTGTTGCTTAAGAAGTCTGCGCATTCGACTAGAAGCCCGTGCCAACGTTACAGAACGAGAAGTGATTAGTCGACAGCTACAGCTCATGCATGCGAGCGTACAACAGTACCGGACTGAAGACCTTAACACAGCTGACACAAGTTGCCTGTCCAGAACCTCTTTTGAGCACTTTGAGGATAGACCTGGTCCCTGGGCAGAGAAAAACGCTCGTATTCCTACACCAATGTAACTAAGCAAGCTACCATGATCATTGACCGCATCTAATGCAGTTGATTTCAACACCTGCCAAGTTGACCGCTCAAGCTGCGCAACGCTTGCAAGCCTGCATCCATGCGGTCGAGCTCGCCCTTCGCGAACTCGATCGCATTGGATCCAGTTTTGAAAGTGGTATACTCCGCCAAAGTGCACTGCAACTCCCATATGTGGGTATTTTCTCCCATATCACGAAGATGCAATGCAAGAGCACTAGCATGGTAGTGCCACTAACAATTTCGGTGCAATATGATGATTGGAAAAGCAGTACTGAGCGGACTCTGAGGGTACCTGAGTGCTGCTACCGCGCCGTCTTTTTCACCTTAGACCACGTTTCACTTTCCTGTTTCACTGCGGTAGCTTCTCACCACTTTGTTGTGACCCGGCGTTGACGGTGTTTGCTTCAAAGTGTTTTGGTGCTATATTATGCCATGATGGCTGCTCTTTGAGATCTCGGGGATCCTGGCTGGGGGGATCCCTGGTTTCCGCATTGAGCTGTGTTGCTTCAGCACCCTGTGATGTGGCCCTGGGTGATTTTGTGGTTGGTGTTTTGGTTGTTTTCTTGTTTAAGGGCCTGCGTTGACATGGCACAGAAGTTGTCATTTGCATGCGTCGAGATGTATGATGGCCTGCGCGAAGGATGGCACACAAGCTGCTATCGGAATTCATCTCAAGAGCACATTGCTGTCCTTTTGCCCTGTTTTTTGTTTTGTTTTTGTGCTGTTTTGTTTGTTTGGTTGTTTTTTGTGTGTTTTGCTTTTTGTGGTTTTTGTTTCGTTTGCTTTTTTGTTGGTTTGTGCTCGCTCTCGGCAATTGGATAGCTTTATGGACTATGTAAAGGTCCACACCAGCTCTCTTTTGTGGCTTTTCATGCATATCAATTCAATTTCCGGCAAGTTAAAGCTTGTGTAACGACCTGGCGAAAGCCTCGGAGGCGTTGGACGGAAAAAAAAATTTCTTGATAGCATATTGATAGGTTTGTGAACCCAATCAAAATCAATATCAATATCAATATCCTGCAGCTGTTTGGCTCTTTGAGCTGTTTTGTTTTTCAGCTTGCAATTTTGGAAATCTTGGAAAAGGTCTAGGCTTGGGTTAATCCAAGTCTAGGTCTTGGAAAAGTCCAAACAGGTCTTGGAAAAGACCAAGGTACAGTTTTGCTCTGTGTGAAAAAAATGCAGTGCAGCCAGGTGCAGCTGTTGTAGTGACTGGTTCTGCATGTTGTGCTGCATTGGTAACTTGCATGCATGTCTGCAGCTGTTTTCAGTTTGGGTTAGAGTGGCTCATGTCAACATGACACCACCCATGCACTTAGCACACTCACAGGCATAGCCACACACACATGCATACATACATATGTGCATGAGCACATGTTCACAATTTTATCGACACAAACACACATAGGGACAGACATAACTTGCCTTGGTACAACACAACAACAAAAACTTCAACCAACAACAAATCACAATTCACACAACCTCCAGTAGCTGAGCTGTTGGTGGTCTTGGAAAAGGCCTTGCTGCTGCCACAGGTTTGGAAAAGCCAGTTGCTTGGAAAAGCCCTTTGGGTTTGGAAAAGCCATTTGGGTTTGGAAAATCCCAAAGCTTCAAGAAAATCTCTGATTTGGAAAAGTCAGAGATGGAACCCCCTGATGGCCCCAAGAATAAGAAGGGGAGGCCCTTTGGCTCTGGCACCACCAGTGCCACCAGAAAAGCCAACAGGGAACACCTGCAGTGGGATCGCTTGGCTGGGGAAAACCCAAGTGATCCCCAGGTGGGTGAGGCACCTGGAGCAGCTGGAAAGTGCCCAGAAGAAGTGCCAAGCCAGGCTGCAGGCAGAGCTTGGAAAAGCTCTGGAGAGGCAGCAGGAGAAAGACATCTTGGCAGCTGAGGCTGCCAAGAAGAAGAGGAGCCACTCTGTGGCTGGTGGCTGCAAAAGCAGGGGGAAAGATGGCACAGCCAGGAAGGCCATCTTGACCCCTGCTGAGCCTTTGGAAAAGGGCTCTGCAGCCTCGTCCTCCTCCTGCAAGCTTCAGGGTTTGGAAAAGCCCAGCAAGAAGAAGGATTTGGGAAAGTCCAAGGGTTTGGAAAATTTGGAAAAGCCCAGCTCCAAGGAAGAGCCCAAGACCACCACTGGCTTGGAAAAGCCTGGCTTGGAAAAGCCACTGGTCATTGTGGACTGGCATCAGACCCTGGAGAACAATGATGCCATCTCAGACAGGGATCTGCATGCCTTGGAGCTTCTGGCCTCAAGATGCAGGGTGTGCATCTTGAGCTATGTGGCATCTGACACAAGGGCAGAAAAGGTGATGGAAGACATCCACACCTTGGTGCCCTTCCATGAGCAGCTTTTTGGAAAAGAAGTCTGCTGGGCCCAAGTTGGGCACAGGGGCAAATGCCACATTGCCTGTGAGATGGATGCCATGGCAATTTTTGATGACAATCGAAAAATTTGCCAGGAATGCATGCAATGGGGGTTGGATGTGTACCCCATCAGAACCCAGAACCAGCCCCACAAGTGGATTCTGGCTGAGGACAGTTTTGGCACTTTTGCTGAAGCTGTGGACAAGTTCTTCAGCCATTATCCAAAGCTGTAAGTCTTGGAAAAGACTGCAGGAGGTGTTTGGAAAAGCACATTGTGGGGCTGGTGTGGTGCTTGGAAAAGCACCAAAGGCATGCATGGCATCAAAACCAGGAGTTTGGAAAAACTC